TGTGTGTGTGTGTGTGTTTGTGTGTGTCTCTGTCTGTGCGTCTGCGTGTGTGTGTGTGTGTGTGTGTGTGTGAGAGAGAGAGAGAGGGAGGGAGAGGGAGAGAGAGACACCCAGACAGATGAGCAAAAGGTGTGTTCTCATGATCGCTATAAACTTCACAAGACCAGGATGACTGTGCCAGACTGTTCTCCTACTTTCACCAACTCGTCAGGAGGCACAGGAACTGTGGACGTGTGTGTACGAGGTGAAGGTCCAAGAGATGCTTTTCACATTGTTCCACATCGGGGATCATTTTCTGATGATCTGAGTTGAAAATGAGTTTGTTTGTGAATACTCCATTCCGAGTTTCCATAGGTGTTGTATTCTGTGATGTTGGACGGGTCTCCTGCTCCTGTCTGTTTGAGGTCCCGAGACGGACGACTCTCTTACAATGCTGACGAGTCGGGAGAACTGTACTCTTGAGGTCCCCGGACTGACAACCCTCTTATAAGTTATAACTGACACAAGCCGGCGGAGGAGAACTACTGTCCACATGCAGATGGTAGCAGAGGTTTGCTTGATTTATAAACTACATTACAGGAGAGACGAGATTCGAACGCCTAAAGCTATTGGTGATGTGCACAAAGGTCACCCCAACCCGACGCCCTCGGGTGGCCGTACACAGGCCCCATGCTTAACGACTGCTCCGGCCTTTCAAGCCCGATTGCAGTTTGCTTGATGACCAAGCCTCCGAATAAGCCTCCAGCAAGTCTAACTGCAATAAGTCTGATGCATGTTACAGTACAGGCCCAGGTCTGAGATCCCCGTGCAAATAGCAAGATGTCTGCAAGCCCTGTTGCGACAGAGAGGGTAGAGCCCATGTTCATCTGGATTTAACCAGCAATGAGCTGTCAGCTTGCGGGTCGACAATTTGGAGCAGCAGTTTGTTTCAAGAACCAACCCTCCGAACGTCCAGCCCGTCTCCGGGAAGACGGACTGAGAGCTGTACTCCTCTCCACTGCATGTCTGTGTGCAGAACCAGAACCAGGTCTGAAAGTGCTGTGCTCGTGCAAAGGGCAGGTCCACAATACCACCCCGCTACCTGGCGCAGGTCGGATTTGAAATCCAGGTCCCAAGTTAGACTGCCCCGTTAGGAGTCATCCAGGAGTGTGTGGCGTGGGATTGCATTGCTTCGTGCCTAATACTAAATGACGCATGAACACTCGCGCAGTACTGCTGTTTCCAGTCGTGCTCCGCATGTCCTGCCTCCTGTGCACAACATCACAGGCACATCCAACCACCACTTCCCCTACATTTCCTCCTCTACCATAACTTTGTGCAGAAGTTCTGCTCTGCATGTGCTGCATATGCTGCCTCCTGGGGAGACCATGACAGGCACCTCTCACCTACTGCTCTCTCTACCATTCCTCCCCTTCCATATCCGTCACCTCCCCTTCCCCCTCCTCTTCCCCTGCGCCTCCAGCTTTGCCACTTTGATTGATGGGGTGTGGTTAGAGGTACATGTTTAATCTGTCTGCATTGTAGGGCTGTTTTTTTTCTTTTTTGTATGTGTGTGTGTGTGTGTGGTGTGTAGAAATGTACTAGTGTTGTTACACATAGAGCTGTAGTTTGGTGCTCCTTGTTATTCTTTTTTTTTTTTTTTTTTCGAGAGCTCCTTGGTGTTCTGGAAAATGCCTACCTACCATGCTGTAAACTAAGTGACCAGGATTTGGCAAGGCAAACACTTAGTTTACAGCACTCGCGGGAAAAAAATGCCTACCTTCCATGGGGCCCCATAGAATATAGTCGAAGCACTCGCGGGAAAAAAAATATAGTCCATGCCTACCTACCATGTGTTCAAATTAACCTCAAGAGAAGATATTGTCTGCAATACTCAGAGCTCTCAAACCAACCCTATCTTCCCGATATATCGGCCGTGGGAAAAAAAATAGAGTTGATGAATTTGGGCACTCCCGCAATCGCCTATTTGTTCCTCGTTGTCGTGGATTGCTTGCATAACGGGGGTACTGATGGTCTTAACTAAACTGCGTGGCTGTTATAGCTGGACGAGTATGGGCGCTCCCGTAGTGCCCCGTTTGCTCCTGACTGTTGTGGCTTGTAATCATCGAAGGTACTTGTGGTGTTCAATCTAAACTGCATGGCTGTACCGGTCTTGTGTTCTTGTTTGCGTGGATGGTGCGTGCTCGCTTCTCCTCGTCTGCTGGTTGCTTGCTTCACCAGGTATATAAATAATACAATACTTGTCCGATTTGCCGATTTCAAAATGCACTACTTGTCCGATTTGCCGATTTCAAAATGCGCCTTCCTTATTTGTCTGTCTGTCCATTCCTCAGCCACCTCGCGTATGACAGAGCCGACTGACCGAACGGTATCCGTTGTCTCCGTTTCTCATGCCGGTTTAGCAAAGTAAGGGTACAGGGTCCCTCTTGTAGAGATTGTATGTATGCAGAGCAATTAACCAATTTGCTAATGCCTTTGACATATATGTAGATCGCCCCGAATTATGCCTCCCAGAGGGCGGCTTTCCTTATAACAAACTTTTCTCGAAATTTTCTCAAAATTACCCTAGACGCAGATTGTAGGTTCTCCCCTCTGTAGGGGACGGCGGGGGGGGGAGGGGGGGGGGAAATAAAAACATGATCTGCCTTCAAAGTGTTCTGCCTTCTGTTCTGGTTTGACTTCTGTTTGTCTCTTGACTCTGTTCCATTCCCAGCCAGCCGAGAAAATACTTGGCCGATTTGTGCAGTGCCTCGATTGCACATGCTCAACCTCTGTTTGTCTGCCTGTTCAATTTTCAGTCAGCCCCTGCAAATACGGACCGGTTTGATCTGTGCCCTTTTTTATTTTTTCCTTTTTTCTTTCTCTGCATGTGCAACTCTTCTTGTTTCTAAGTTCAATCAGTTATCACTCAGCCCTAATAATACTGACCACAGAAGGGATTCTTTGTCGGTTCGAAAATACTCGTCCTCCGACCTTTCAGGAGGCCGAAACGAAACGACGGCCGCCGTAGTAATACTGACCACAGAAGGGATTCTTTGTCGGTTCGAAAATACTCGGCCTCCGACCTTTCAGGAGGCCGAAACGATATGACGGCCGCC